GGAGCTTTGGGAGGACATCTCATATCCAAACCATACAGTATAAAACCACACAAACTTACTATCTTACAGTTGCCCAGGTGAAAAGTCTGAAATGAGTGTCATTAAATGAAAACTGAGTGTGTGACAGGGTTGTATTGCTTTTTGGCAACTACAGAATCTGTCCTCTCCTTGCATTTTCTATCTTTAGAGGCTGCCTTCATTTCTTGGCTTGCACTTTCTCTATTTACTAGGTAGCTACATGTGTTGAGTCCTTTTTACAATGCTTCATTTTAAAGGTGAAAGATACTTGGTGAACTGAAGTTTTAAAAAGCAAGGAAAATACATAAAGAAATGCCATGATCCAATGAAGCACAAAACACTATCCAACTTTTTTACTAAAAATAAAGATGTCATCAGGATAATGCTCCTCAAAAAGAGCTCCTACCACTCCTCAGTTTAAATTAGGTAAACTCCAGATTTAAACTGTTGAATTAGCTGTGCCCCTTGGAGGGAAAATAGTAAATTCAGATGAAGTAGCCTGGTTGCTAACTGCTAGAAACAACTTCAGCATACATGTACGAACTCTCTGGCACCCAATAGCCAGAATCAGAGAAGAGCTCTACTTAGAAAATTTAGCAACTAATCAAAGTGACATAAAAGTTCTATCACATTAACAAACTGGGATGCCCTGAATAAACAAGAAGCCATTTCTGGGAAGTCCTAAATTTAGACTCATAAGACCAAGCAGCTGGCTCAAGTCACATGTGTCCAGAGTTATCTGGATGAGTTAAATCACCTATTTGGTCTTTTTTCATCTCCTGTGTAAAATAAAGAAGTTAATCTGAATTACTTGTTTTCAAATTCTACTGTAATTCCCAGTAACAAATACATTGAAATCCTGAGAATCCATATATCTGAAACAAAAATGCAGGCTACTAGTCACCTAATTGCTAATTCATAAACTGCCATTTGAAAAGCACTTATTGTGTTGATGGATCTCTATAATTACTTATTTAAAACAACAAAAGGGGAATGGTATTTTTCTTAAAAGGTGGGAGGGGCTGGGCACAGGCAGTAAAATACAAGAGTAATAATGCAAACACATTTTTAAATCATGGAATGTGACCACAGTTCATTATTTTTTTATTAACAGTTAACATTACATTCAGTACTGTGACCACATGGAATTCCTCTATCAGACAACTTTGGCATGAGAACTTGCCTTCCAGCTACTGAAGATTTCTTAAAATAGGACAGCAGTTTGATATTCTCTTAATCTATCTTTTTGCTGTGAGAGTTAAGTAAGAATACAAATACCATTTGTTTTTATTCTTTAATACTTCTGAGACAAATGGGTATTATAAAAAAATGCCAACTCCACCCTCCTCCACTCCGTCCTGGTTATACACATATATCACTACTTATTGTGAAAAGCCTAACATCTTTCATATGACCACACTGTTATCTATAGCTTGTCCTAAACTTGGCATTTTTTTTTTTTTTTTAACCCTTAGCTTTATCATTAGCCAGTTTTCCTCATCTGTACTCCTGGAAGCAAAATTTCTTTACTCTGCATTCCATCTTGTTTTGTGTTCAATGATGTTTATAAATTGTCCCTCACATAACAACTATTTATCTCTCCTAGTAGATGATAAGTAAAAAGATTCTTTACCTTGTCTAATTTATAAAGCATATTTATATCCACCAATCTTTTATCTTCACAAACTGAGGGACAAAAAAAATCTATATTTATTTAATGGCAATTGTATGTTGGGCTGTGTGTTTGAGGACATATATATACATACATATACATATATCAACTCACTTAACTCTCAAAACAATCCTGTGGATCCATTTTACATGTGAAAACTCACAAAGGTTCTGTAACTTATTAGTATCAGAAGCTGTTTAAAAAGAACGGCTGAGAATTTTTACAATTCTGGTCTTGTTCTTTCCATTATGCAAACATGACTGTGTCAACCAAAGGGGAAGACAAAAATACATGTAAATTTCACTGAAGACAGTTTCTCTAGTACGCTAGAATTGGCCTATTCAGGTAATACTTGGGAATCAAGTAAAGTTAGAGAATTTTAGAAGTGGAAGGGACAATACAGATTATCTAATCAAATTCCTACATTATAGATGAGAAGTATGATTCCCAGAGAAATAAATTTCCTTTAGCATACAGTTTGTACTGAGCCAGTATTAAACCCAGTTAGAGGAAGTATAGCAAAGTGGTTAAAATTATGACCTCTGGAGTTAGACACATTGGTTCAAATCACAGCTCTGGCATTTAATGACTTTGTATAAACTAGTATGATTTATAAAGCTTATCTTTTGTCTCACTTTTTTCAGCTATAAAAGGATAGTAATACTTACCCAATAGGGCTATGAGAAATAAACCTTATACTTCATAGCAGAAAGTAAGCACTCAATATTTCTTTTTATGAATGAATGTGGAGTGGACACAGCATTGTAGGGTCAAGGTGAGTAACAATAAATAAGCATTCATTGATTTACATGGTAATTTCTTTTAAACAATACATATACAAACACTTTTTGGTAGATAAGTAACATTTTTAAAAGGAATAACATAATAAACGTGCTAGATGGTATGTATGAGATGATGAACAATGGAGACAATCTCAACCTTCCTAAGGACTCAAATTTGACAGAAAGCAAAATATCTCTGAGATCTTCCTATGGTATATGCAAAAGCATATACCTTTCACATGGTTAAGTCACTGGAATGTACTCAAATGCACATCAGTATTTTATGTTATTTGTACATACATAGTGTGTCTTTCTGTGAAACAAAATATTCTGTAGAATTAAGTTGTCATTTCTAACATTGGTCATTTCTACAAGATTTTAGCAAATTTCCAATCCTCAAATTTTTAGTTCTCTACATAAAATAGGATATTGGAATGGGCAGGTTTAATTAGGCATACTTCCTTAACATGTGTAGTAATGACCATGTTTCTGAGAATTTTTAGCTAAAACAGAAAAGTTTTGCTAATAATCACTAAATAATAATTATGTGTGTGAAAAGCTGCTCTCAGAAGCAACTGACATTTTTGACTCAGAGTTGCCAATATGCTATTGGTCTCTAGATCTTTTGCTTTTGTTCTACGTATTATGCTTAAGTACAATGTAGGCATTTGATTGACTTAGGTTGATAAAATGGGCCAATAATCAATATAGAAATCACATTATTCAAATGTGGAAATTACCTAGGTTAATGAATGAACTCCTTAAATCCCTTTATCTTCAACCTGTGCTATACACTGACTTCTAAATCTGATATACTATTTATCCAATTTTGCTTGAGAGTAAAAAAAAAAATGATTCTGTTAGGTTTATATTATGAGAGAAAGTATAGAACACAGTAAAATGAAGCAAAGTTTACATGGGATACAAATTTCAACTGTGCTACTTAAATGTATGATGTGTGGGAAAACACAATCTCTTTGAGTCTCAGTATAAAATGTTTACAAATTAGAGATGATTTTTCTTGATCTTATTTTTAAATTAGACATTAAGTAAAATTATAAATGTAAAGTTCCTGGAAGACAATAGATACCTGTGGTATTAGTGGTTGGCTTTATTAATTTGAATGGAAAAATCACAAATCGAGAGCAAGAATTAAAAATAAAATAACTTGCCTGCATAAAAACTAGTTGCTATATGGAAATAACACACAATAACACACAATGCAACAATTTACAGTTCATTCCACAGGAGAGATAAAAACCATATGATTAAATAAATGGCAATATTTGGGTCAATGGGAAGATTTTAAAAATTGGTTGAATTATTAACCCACCAGAAAGTTAGAAAAGATCAATGTGCTGTCTTAAATATGGATGCATTACTCTCAAAAGGGAATAAGGCATATGTGATTTCGAATAGAACATAATGTGTTTTTCTATATGGTAGAGTACTCCCTAGAATTCTGGAGTATGGAATGGGTTCTTTTTTTTTTTTTTTTTTGTAGTGGGGGAGAGCTGCCATTAATGGGGAAAAAAGGTGATTACTGAAATATAAGGTGTTGAGAACTACTTAACTGGACAAACTGCATTACTCACAAAAAGAGAAGTTGCCAAGGTTCACTACACCAGATCTTTCAAATCCTTGAATAAATGAGCTCTTTTCCTCACATTATCCCTTTGTCAGAAGCAATTTCTCTTTACAACTATTTTGGCTACTTTAGACGTTCATCCCTGAGTTCTAAATTATTGAAAAAGCCTGGAGCACATTCCTTTCTAAAAGTACATCTACTTCCCAATCACTAGTTTACAGAAGGTAAAACGTCCATCTAAAGCCCACACATGAAATTATAAGCTTGTTGTCCTATCTCATTAGTTCACAGCAGCCATGAAAACAGAGACCATTCTCCTCACCTAATCAAACTGCAGCGGAAATGTTCAAATAATTCTAGTTTAGAAATGACTCTCCAAACCGCACCTAATAGGTCCTCTTCAATCTACAGTCTCCTTCCCAGGCTTGGCATCTCAGAACTATTGAAACACAGCTTTCCATAATCGAGCGTGATCAAACCCTGCCAATGGAGAAAGTAAGGACTCGGCACTAAGCCGGGTCGCGATACACACTGTCCATGGCCTCGAAGTTGGACACAGATACTGCAAGTGAAGAAGAAGGTAAGCAGGGATCCCAGGGCCTTTTCCAGGCTCAAGAATGGTCAAGAGCCCCGGAGATGGACGGGACTCCAATTTTATCCCTCTCCCACTCACTTTTCGATCGGGCCGAGATGCTGACTGAGCCCCAGTTGGTCGGAAAAAAACAGGTCCAAGAGACAACCCACAAAAATCACTTACCAGTCTCCCACCTCCCGCACGTACCAAGCCGGAAACGAACCCGAGCTGGCCACAGTCAAGCCCAGCACTACCTCAGACCATCCTGGCGACCGCTCCAGAGCGTCACTAACAACCACCCGGAAATGGTACAACCTCTTCCGGGGCTGCCAAGCGCGCGGCGGGAAATTATTTCCCAGAGCCCGGATTAGTGAAGCAGCGAATGCTGCAGCGGTAATCGACGCCGCTGCTGCCGCCGCCAACCGAGAAAAGCAGCCCAGACACTCCGGCCGGGAAGGTAAAGGGCCTCACCTCGGAAGACTCAGTTTACCCTGCCTCTTTGGGGACGTTTTGTCCCAATCTGTGCCTCCGAAGTTTCTGCTGCCCCCAGCTGGGAAGGGACTGGGTTGAACGGTGGCAGCGCCTGGCTCTCGCGCTTTCCACAGTCGCGATTCCGTCCCACTCTCCCGACTAGCTGCGCTCAGCGCCCGCGTTGGTAGCCTGCAACTGCAGACCTGGCCCTGCTCCGCCTGAGCTCCTCGCGAAGCGCCTCTCTGCAGTGCAGGATTGAGTGCTCCCCTCGCCTCCCGCTTGCGCAGCTCCGCGGCTGGTTCCCCCGCCGGGAAGGCGCTAGGCCGCCCTCATCTCTGGTTTCCATAGAACCAACTGGGACGCCTCACCCTGATCCCAGATTCTTGGCTGCTTTCCATAACTTAGCGTCAGTAAATGTAGTAGGGATGCTCCAGGCCTACCTTCCTGTGACAAGGAAAATAGTGTCATTCTTTGTTTCCTTGTTGATTTTTTAAACACATGGCAAAGAGCTTATCTCTGCAGCTGCTGTAAGGCCTTTAAACAAACATAAATACACCTTGCCCTAAAGGGAGGATCCCTGTTCCTGGGAATTACCTCTCAGCTGACTGAAGGCTAGGGACAAGACTAAGTGAATGTCTGGAGCTTTCTTCCACTTCTAAAGCCTCTGATTAAATACTGACAAAAATTGATATCAGTATTTGAACCAGAAGGTAGATTGGGCTTGATTTTTAAGGCCTCAATTTCTTTTTGACAAATATTGACTATCCTCTGCAAACAAACAAAAATTTTCCGTTGAAACATTGGAAATGACATTTAAACTGGATTTACAGTATATGTATGACAGACATTGCCCCTCGTGGACTTTTTGGTTTGTGTTACTCACTTATGCCTCAGTTCCTAGAAATATGTTGATGTGCAAGATGTTCCCCTTGAAGAGTTTGCCAAAACCTCTATATTACAGGTCTTCAGTACATAAACTGATATTTTATTCTTCACTAATTCAGTGTATTCATAATCAGCTACAGTGTTGAAATCCTTGAATGTTTTAATACATTTATTGTAAAGACGGCCTCCAAAAATGCAAATAAGCCTCTATTAATTACATCCCTTTTCTATGTCCATATTTTCTAATGCCTGTGAAGTTCAATTAAGTGATTTAACATTTCTTGCTTTCCTAAAGCAGAAAGGATAAATAATTTGAAAGTCTTTGAAAGAGTGAGCAATGTGGTTACTTTTCACAAACTTCAGAACTTTTTTAAAAGATTTTCTTCTAGATATCCACAATTTCCAGCGATGTCCTAAAACACTGATATTTACAAAACCAAAAGTATAGTGGTATCAATTAGACAATATTTTTAATGTGATATAAATCTTGATTATATTATTCTAAGATAGTCTTTTTTCGTGATTTAAAAGTCTGTAAATAAAATAACAATTCAGTGTAAGTTCTGAATAATAAAATCTAAAGACACTGGAGAATCCTGTGTCTTAAAATATAACTAAAGTAGAACATTACCTGTTTCTTGACTCTTTGGATATACTAGTAGAAAATAAATGCTGTAAAATGTTGTAGGTACTTTTTGACATAAGGAAATATTACTGCTTAAAATTAAATATCTCTGAAACTTTTAAATACATGTAGTTTTTACTTTCTGAGAAAATTTGAAATTAAAGATATACTGTTGTTATTTTTGATAAGAAAGTAGACCCATTTGACTATCCCTTGATTAATTGATCCCAAATTCATTTTGAGAAGAAAGTTATAAAAACTTTGTTTCCAATAAGAAAAAATAATGACACTTTTCAGATTTTTTCATAGAAATATGGTGAAATTTTAGGCATTGGTATTATTTTCCAGAAAATAATTTATAAATATGTTTATATGCTTTCAATTTTGCTGATCTTAATGTCTCCCCAGCCTTGTAGTGGATTCCTTTTATGCAGCATGCCTTTCTTTCATGCTATGAAAAATGGATTGCTTTTTAAAATTATAATGCAGTTAAGAATATCAGACTAAATTCTGAAATTTGAGTCAGGATGGTTTTGTAAAAAAGTCATATCATTTTTGCAGAAACAGGCTTTTCTTTGAATATTGGTTTACGGATTTACTAGTAATGTGTGTGGGGGGTGGGGTGGGGGGGGGTGTTGCTGAGGATTGTACCCAGGGCCTTGTCCAGGCTAGGCAAGCACCCAGCTCCTTAGATTCTTAATTAGTAATACTTCTCAGTGTCCTCATCTGTTTGACAAGGATAAATAGCACTTATGCTGTGAAGAAGGAAATCAGTTAACAGATGAAGTGCTTAGACCACAGTAGGTCCTCTGTAAAAATTAGAGTGCAGTGGCACATGACTGTAATCCCAGTGGCTTGGTAGGCAGAGGCAGGAGGACTGCAAATTCAAAGCCAACCTCAGTAACTTAGGGAGACCCTGTCTCAAAATAAAAAATAGAAGAGGGCTGGGGATAGGGCTCAGTGGTTAAAGTGCCTCTGGGTTCGATCCTTGCTACAAAATAAATAAATAAATAAATTTTTAAAGATTCTGCTTGTTCAGCTTTAGGATTATACTCCTCCTCCTAAGTAATCCAAAGTTTCTAGGACACCTAAGCAGGTTTAGTGACCAGTATTTACTGTCCATCCATTTTTTTGCCCTGAACTGTGTTCCTTTTTCTTTTTCTTTTTTCTTTCTTTTTTTTTGGGGGGTGCTGGGGATTGAACCCAAGGCTTTGTGCATGCAAGGTAAGCACTCTACTGACTGAGCTATATCTCCAGCCCTCCGTGTTCTTTTTTCAACCTGCTTCATTATGAAACCTTTTTCTCTAAAATAGCATTGCCAGTCCAGCCTGTACCATGTACACTATACACTACTGGATAGATTGAATGGTTCTGTTATCTCAGCCTCTCATTTCTTCCTCACCACAGTCACTTTGTTGCTAATTCTCCATTTCCTTCCTGTACTGCTGAATTTACCATCAAAGGGACTAATGACTGCTCCTTTCTCAAATAATGCCATTGAGGTAAGAACATCTCTCCAGGTCTCATCACTGGCTGTCATATAATTAATATGTTTAGATCATATCCTTGAAGGATGGGCAGGAAGTAGACATCTTTTAAACCAATTCCAAAGTCCCCCTGAAAGAAATTAAACAAAGGGCCTAGTTTGGCTCCTTGGCCAAGAGGGACCAGAATTCTTAAACTCTCCTTGAAACCATAGTGTTCAGCGTAGAAGTATTTTACTCACAGTTTGAGTACTGTAACATGTCCCTCTTTTGCAATATTGGTTAAAACAGAGATATAATATTTTGATCTTTGCAGTTTTAGCTCATCTTTGTTTATTTTTCCAGCTAAATATTATTCGTAAAGGAAGTCATGAAAATCTTTCACAGCAATATTATTGATTGCATTTAACACTTGGTATGTTTTTCAGAAGATGGAAATTTCAGGGAATTTTCTTTAATTTGCTATAGAAGTAGATTTTAAATCAAAATAGCTTACATTCTAAAATAATGAAATTGAGAGACAACTAGTTTTCATCACATGACTTTAAAACCATGAAGAATATTAAGTGGCATGGGAAATGATCATGATAAAAATTTACATAAAAGTACAATATAGAACTACATATCTAAATTTTGTTATGTGTATTTTTTTTCACACACACACATGAAATGTGAAAGTCAATCCTGGGAAAATGTTAATAGTGGTATTACAAGGTAAAGGAATTAGAGATTGTTTTAATTTTTCTGTAATAAGCGTGAGTGAATTAAAATTAATTTTTTTCCGGGGGGGGGGGGGGGTGTGGTTATCTGGAATTGATCTCCAGGGCACTCAACCACTGAGCCAGACCCCCAGCCCTATTTTGTATTTTATTGAGAGGGTCTTACTGAGTTGTTTAGTGCCTCCCTGGTGCTGAAACTGGCTTTGATCCTCCTGTCTCAGCATCCCGAGCCACTGGGATTACAGGTGTGTGTCTGCTGGTGTGTTCATTACAACTAAAAGACAAAATCAGCAAATTTAAGTAAATTAAGAAATATGTGAATTAACTTTTAAAAAATAAGTCTCTTATTTAATTTATAATACTTATCAGATGGCTTTATTTTCTTTATTCTTTTTTCTTTTTTGGTACCAGGGGTTGAACTCAGGGCACATAACCAATGAGTTACATTCCTACCCATTTTATTTATTTTTAGACAGGGTCTCACCAAGTTAGGGCCTTGATAAGTTGCTGAGACTGGCTTTGAACTTGGGATACACCTGCCTCAGCCTGTGGGATTATCTGCATGTGTCATTGTACCTGGCTATTTTCGAAACACACACACACACACACACACACATACCCTTATTTTTATAAATAATGTTCTTTTTTTCTATAAAGACCTCTTTAAGCATTGCTGCTTCTCTGTTCTGCAGCACTTTCCTTTTTCACACAACAGTTTATTCTGCTCTTTCATCCTAGCCAAACCTTTGTGTTCTTATCTGTAGTGTTGCCTCTACTTTTCTCTGAATTCCCTTTTCAGTATATTCTACATCACCTTCTTCAAACATGTCCCAGATAAATGTTATATTGTGTAGAATTCAAAGGACCTAAAACAATAGTGTGTAATAAAGGCTTTGCAATTATGATGCTTGCTGTGCTATAAGTTTATTTGCATTTCTGACTGGCTCTAACTGCAAAGGAATTTCAGGCATCAGGGATAGGCCCATGTGGGAGATATTTTGGGAAAGTCCACTCCACAGAAACAGTTGCTTGCTATGCCTAAATGCCAGCACTGTTCACAATAATTCACTCCTTGGTTGTCAATGATATATGGTTTAAGGTAAGTAAATTTAAAAATTATTGTACAGAGTTTTAAAACACTCATCACTAGGCATGTAGTATATAATTTAAAAATTTTTTGACTACAGATAAAATCATTTAAATGTATAAGATAAATGCTCCCTCCCCTTTTTCTATAAAGATAGGGCCTTATTGTATGCTTGGTTGCTTCAAG